TACAGCAGACTGTTACAGTCTGTCCCACACTCCATTCAGCTTTCATACATGATAATGGGCATTGAAACTTAGTTCACCCCAACCAGCCCCACTATCCAGCCCGCATACCTGCCGGCAGGTGCCACTCTGTCCATCCATGCCTGCCCCAGTCCTGGTTCTCATGCTCACCAGTCGCAGTGGCAACCCAAGAGGGAGGTGCCCACTGTTTCTCTACTGGCCTCACTCCCACTCCTGGATCATGCACTGTCGAGGTAGTTCTGCAGTTTGACTTGACAGAATTTGTCCCCTGTACCAGCATCTGCCAGCTGATGCTGTGGCAAAGTCCAACCTACCCACACCCACTCTGGTTGATGTGTGCACTAGTAGGAACACTCAATCTAGCCTGGCTTTCTGCTGATTCAACTCACATGAAGCCAACAGGTGTTGTAGCCCTGCCCAGCCTGATCTGCCCGCGTTCCAGCTCTCATGTTCGCTAGTGGACACAGTGGTGCAGCAGGGGAGCCCCACGCAGCCTCTCTACTGGTTACACCCTGTCCCCCACCCCCTGTGTTTCACATGTGCTGATTAAGCACTGTGGCCCCGTCTGGCGTGGCCTGCCTCTCCTCAGCTTTTATTAGTGAGTGCTATAGTCTGACCAGGCCAGGCCCACCCCCAATTCCTGCTCACGCTGGTGGGGACTATAGCCTTGCTCAGCTCACCTGGGCCCCAGTTCTGGCCCTCATGTGAACTGGCTTGTGTTGCGGCCTGACCTGGCCTGACCCACACTCCATTCTGGTGCTCGGATTTGCTAGCAGATGATATGAACTGTCCCAGCCCGTTTTACCCCTGGCCTGAGCCAACGGTATGCTGGTGGGTACCATTCTCTGGCCTGATCTGGGCTGCTCCCTATCATGATTTTTGCGTTCACCTGCAGGGTGTTTCCCAAGCTCCTTCATCAGAACCTCTGCCAGTGCCAGATATTGCACACACTAGTGGGTCCATGGGCCAGCCCTACTTAGTCCACCTCCTTTCCTAATAGGAACAGTGGCCTTTCCTGTCTGGTCTTTACCCATTCCAGTTTTTACTGTTGGTGTTGCAGCTTAGCTAAGCCTGGTCCATACCCAGATGCAGCTCATACATGGCTCAGCAGGCTCAGAGAACTAGCCTAGCTTGCCCTACATCTACTCTGGTTCTCTCGAGCACCAGTGGGTGCTGGAGTCTAGCCCAGTCTGGCGCACCCCAGACTCATTCCATACTTGTGCTGAGAGACACTGCAGTCAAGTCCAGACCAAATTGCAGCCCCCACTCCGGCTCTCGTATTCATCAGTGGGAACCCCAACCCAAACAGGGCATCCCCTTTGCTCTCCAACCAGGCTGCTCCCAGCCACAGATTTGGCGCATGACACTGGTTGCTCTAACCCACCTTGGCATAGTCCCTCATTGTCTTGGCCTTCGCCTTTGGATGCTATAGTCTGGCCTGCCCCCAATTCCAACTTTCACTGGAGGGTACTGGAACCTGGCCCTGCTCAATCTGCTCCCATACCTGGCTCATGCAGACTGTAGATGTGTCAGCCTAGCTCAGCATGACCTGGCTCTAGCTTGGTTTCTGCACTTGCCAGTGACCTAAGGTTTGTTTGGCCCTGTCTGCCCCCTTCCAAAACCAACTCGCACACTTGCCAATGGATGGAGCTACCTTGCTCAGCCTGCCTGACCCCGAGGTCTGGACCACATGCTCACCAATGGGAGCAATGACATATTAATGGAGTTTCCCAAGTTACCCCACTCGTCCCATTCCCAGATTCAGATCTCACGCATGCCAGTGGGTGCTAGGCCCTTGCCTGGCATAACCTGCCCCTCCATCTTAGCCTTTGTATGAACTGGTGAATGTTGCGGCCCGGCTTGGCCTGCCCCATACCCTGTTTTAAGATGCACATGGGGATGCTGCAGCCTGGACCTGCCCAGCCTGTTCCCAGCCCCAGTAGCCATGAGTGTTCGCAGTTTTCATGGTAATACCTAGCTCAGTCCGTCACCATCCCAACTTTTTAGCTAACCAGCGGGACTTGTATTTCCACGGTGTTTGTCCATATATCCCCCCACAGAATCTACTCCTGGACCTGGTTCTCTCGCATGCTGGTTAGTGTCCTGGCCCTGACAAATGTGACTCTTCTCCTGTTTTAACTCTCAGTCAGAGACTGGGATCTAGCCCTGCTAGGCAGACTCCCAGCACTAGGTTTTGTGTGGGCTGACTTGTGGTGGTTAGCAATGTTCTGTGCTAACAAGCCCATCTCAGGACTCCCATGTGGGCTGGTGCATTGGTGTGACCCGTACAGATCTTCTGGTCTCTCCCCTCTAAACCACCAGATCTCAGTCCTCTTGCTTACCTGCAAGTACAGTGGCCCTGTCGTTTGCAGTCCCTCAGGATTCATTCTTCACCTTCACATATGGTGGCCTTATCCATTGATGTCCCTAGGCAGTAATTCCATTCCCCCAGGTCCTCAGAGCTCATTGCAAGATGGGGTTGAGGGTCCTGTTTGCACACCCAACCACGGCCAAAATGGCTCCAGCTGCTTTTAAGCAGCCAGGCCAGGCTGCATCCCTCTCACACTAGCCAAAAGCAGCCAGTGGGGTTGAGGGTCCCATTTGCACACCCAGTCCCCCAATGGTATTATTTTAAACTGAGTTGCAGTGTGGGCTGAAGGGGCATGGTCTCTGGAGTTAAGCATGGATTCTAATCCTTTTTCCTTTGTGTCATCCTTACTAACCCTGAGTCCCTCTCCTAGCTCTGTGATATAATAAGGATGGCTTGCTCTTTTTTTTTTCTGAACATTTTTTAAAAGCTTGTTTTTGTTTATTAGAGAGTATGAGAATACCTTCCTCTGGTAGACTCTTCAAGTGCCCAGAAAGATCAGAGCAGGACCAGACAAATGCTTGCCCTTGCCTGGCATAACCTGCCAGTATGTTACAGTACAGGCCTGCCTGTATTCAACTCACATCTTTTACCTGGGCAGTGGGGACTCAGTTGAGCCAGCATTTGCTGCTTTGCAGGGGATGCAGTAGAGCAGGAAGCTGGGTTTGGGAGCCTGGCTAGTGATTGGATCCAGGCTTTCCGCCACTGCGGGATGTGGGCATAACTGCCATGCTGACACCTGCCCCTCGATGCCATAATGGGACCATGCGTGCAGCACACAGGGAGTGGCCTGTGGCATTGCTGTCCCAGCCCCTCCATCTCCTCACATCAGCCTCACCTGTTGCTGCACCTGACTGCTGCTACCCCTAGGAGGGATTCCCAGCCCCGAGGCTATGGCATGTATCCCTCAAACCAGGGCCACTGTGTGGAGGTTCTCTTTTGCTACCAAGAGGGCCACTCTTCCAGCTGCTGGCTTCGTTGTGCCCTGGCCCTTGGGGGAGGGGTGTGGTGGAGCTGTCCCGGGAGCACAGCTCTCTGTGGAGGAGCTTGCTGGGAGCTGTACCTTGCTGGCAGCCATGTGTGCTGGAAGCTTAGTGCAGCCTGGAGGCCCTGGTAAGGCCTGGGGTCGGCAGGGTGGTCGGTAGGCTGGGCTTAGTGCACTCAGGATTAGGAGAAATGCTGGGAGTTTTTGGTGCCGCAGCTGCCGGGATGCTTACAAATGATTGCACATTACAGTGCTTCGGAGGTTCTCCTTTTTTAGTAGCATTTGCTGCTTGTCCTTTTGCTTCCTATCCCACAAGGGCAAATCAGTCCCTTTGAGTCTTCAGTAGTATACAGCTCTGCCACATTTCCAGAATATCCATTCTTGCATCCTTCCTGTCTTCCTTTCTTTTTCGCATTTACTTATTTAGAAAGGCAGATTCACAGAGAGAGAGATGGAGAGAAAGAGAGTGGAAGATCTTTCATCCACTGGTTCACTCTCTAAGTGGCAGCAACAGCTGGAGTTGAGCTCATCTAAAGCGGGAAGCAAGGAGCTTCTTCTGGGTCTCTCAGGCTTCTATGGGTGCAGGGTCCCAAGGCTTTGGGCCATCCTCTATTGCTTTCCCAGGCCACAAACAGGGAGCAGGATGGGAGGTGGAGCAGCCAAAACATGAATTGGCACTGATATGGGGTGCTGGCACTTACAGGTAGAGAATTAGCCAACTGAGCCATCACGCTGGTCCCAGAATACCCTTTCAGTCCTACTGTGGCTCATGTTTTTGGGGTAAGAACCCTGATGATAAAACAGTGTTATTGTATATACATGGACTAGCTGTAGTTAAACCTTTGGTCAGTCCCTATACTGTATCTAGAATGTCACTGAATTTCACTTTGGTGGTAAAAGGAAGCAAAAATATAGAAAAGAGAAGTAGATGAGGGCATCAAAATACTGGTGGAACAGCTGGTGCAGTGGCGTTTCAGACTAATCCTCTGCCTCTAATGTGAGCAGTGCCATAGGGGTGCTGATGCCAGTCCCGGCTGCTCTGCTTCCGAGCCAGCTCTCCACTAACACGCCTAGGAAAGCAGTGAAGGATGGCTCAAGTGCTTGGTTGGGCTCCTGCAGCTGTGTGGGAGACCTGGAAGAAGCTCCTGGCTCCTGGCTCTGGATCAGGACAGTTCTGGCTGTTACGGTCATTTGGGGAGTAAACCAGGGGTTGGTTGCAAGATCTCTCTGTCTCTACCTCTCTCTATAATTCTTTCAAGTAAAAATAAATAAATCTAAAAAACAGGTTCATGGAAAAGTAAGATTAAAAGGTAACATGCATTTACTGGGACCATCCGTGTTGACGCCCTGGGTGGGGTTGGGTTGTGGGGAGGTGGCGCACCCCCCGGCAGCAGTAAAGGAGGTAGCCCTGAGCAGCACAGAACCTGCTGAGCCACCGAAGGGCGGGGAGCTCCGGTTTCCACCGAGAAATGTCCCGTTCCCGTGCTAGGGGCTTCTCCTTCCCGTTTCCCATCCTGTCTTTCTTTGGGTGAGCCTTCGTAGCCGGGCTGCTGGCTGGCATGGGCTGAAGTGGACAGTCCTCACAGCTTCCTCTCTCCCTTTCTGCCACCCCTTCCCTCTCCCCTGCAGCCCTGAGGATGAAGATCAAGGAGGTGAAGAAGGAGAACGGCGACAAGAAAATCGTCCCCCGGAAGAAGAAACCGCTCAAGCTGGGGCCGCTCAAGAAGAAGGAGCTCCGGAAGCTGGTGCTGTACCTCAAGAACGGGGCCGACTGCCCCTGCCACCAGCTCGACAGCCTCAGCCACTACTTCCTCATCATGGGCCGCAAGGTCAAGAGCCAGTACCTGCTCACCGCCATCCACAAGTGGGACAAGAAGAACAAGGAGTTCAAGAACTTCATGAAGAGGATGAAGAACCACGAGTGCCCCACTTTCCAGTCAGTCTTCAAGTGATGCTCCTGGCACGGGAGGTGGCCGGCCATTCCTGGGACAAGCCACCCTGGATTGTGCCGGCGGGGACGGGCGCGGCGGCTCCCTCGGTGGACACTGAAACCCAGCTGGCTTTGTCACTCCCTTCCCTCTCCTCCCATCCCTGTAGGCAGGCTCACACCCCAGTCCAGCCCCAACCAGCCAAGGAAAGGGTCCTGTAGACTAGCTCAGCTTTTTAAGGCCCGCAGAGGCCGGGGTAGGGGGGGCACTGCAGCCACTGTGGAAAACTGCTGCATCCAGAGACGCTCTAAGCCACTCGGGGCCAGTTCACCAAGGGGCTCAGGTCCCAAGTGGGGGGGTGGCAACGAAAACTCAGTTCTGTGCCTTTCTTAGTGTCATCATAGATGGCTTGGTTCTCCCTCCTCGTTGTGGGGGGCTCACCTGTGCCTTTGGGAACTAGAACATTCTATCAGCAAGTCATGTTGCTTTCCATTCCAGAGTGGTCTCTTGTGAGCCCCACCCCGTGCTTAGGATTGGTGGGTGGGAAGGCGTGGGGAAGTGCTGTGGGGGGCCCTGCTCCACCTTCAGCTGTCTCCTGCTGGCTCATCTGGCCTCACTCCGGGCAATGACCTGATGCTCTCACCCGTGTGAAGGGTAACTGCTCACTGCCTGCCTCCCCGTCGGCGTGTGAGACAGCTGCAGGTGGGCACCACGGAGAAGGGGGCTTGCAGACTGGGAGAGGCAGCCATTAGTGGTATCCAAACAAAACAAAAAATAACAGAACTCACAAAGAAAAAGAGGAATATAATTTCCGAGTGGCATTTTACCCTGTGTTTGTTCAGTTCACATTCTTGAACCGGACAGCAATCCTCCATTGTCCCCCTGCCCTGAACCCCACTTATCAAGGTTCTGGGAAGCGTTGACACTCAGTACCCACTCAGTGTGCAGGGCCCTGGGGAGGGTCCGGAAGTGCTGTCCGGAAGTGCGGCTCTCAGAGGTGTGTGCACCTGTGCTCCCTCTGGAGGACTTCCTGGGGCTCAGCACAGCAGCAGTCAGAAACACTAGGATGCTTCTGGTTCTTCCCCATCCTTGAAGCAGCAGACTGCTTTCAGCTCTGTGGCTACTGATCCAGGGGCATCCTGCCTCCTGTGCTCGCTTGCTCTCTCTCTCTGCAGAGGGCAAGCCTGCACACAGGTCCCCCCTCCAAGGAGAGAACTTCCAAGGCCAGACATTTCTGCAGCTTCCCAGGTGACCTAGGGTGCTTCTGAGAGCCCTGCTGTGCCATGAGTGCAGTAATACCATGGTGCCCCTCATCTCGTGCCTGAGAAGCAAGGGATGCCTGCGGTAACTTCCAAGGGCCTCAGTGACTGTCCCTTGCCATTTTGCACCCTATACGGATGACTGCAGTGGGCAGTTGTCACTGCATAATTCTGGATCCACACAGAAGATTGAGGGGTTAACCCTGAAAGACTCCATCCTGAAAATCAGCAGGTGCACCCACCTGATGTCATTCCCAGCTCCTGGTCACTCATCCTGTCTCCTTCTGTGGTTCCTTATCCTTTAATCCAAAAGTGTCAGAGTGTGTGTGTTGGGGTGGGCGAGGGGGAGGGCATAAATGACTGGTCGATGATTTTGGATGGTGAAACAAATTGTGTGTGTGAGAGAGAGAGTTAATAATTCGGCATTTTTTAGTCTCCCACGGTCAAGCCAAAATTCAGAGTAGTTTCACTCACTGTGCGAGGGATCCCAGTCTTCCTTTTGGGGGTGTTCAGGATTTGCTGCTCCTTCCCACAAAGTGCCTTGGGCAGAGCAGGTGCACTCCTCCAAGGTGATGACCTCGGGGCTAGGGTCGTCCTGGACAGGCAGCCATACTGGGCTCCGTTGGGATTCTCTGCTCGGAGGTGACACAGTCTGGAGGAGAGCCAGGCAGGGATAGATGTGGGTGGCCACTGTGACGTTCATGGCAGGCTCCAGGTTCCTCTGTCTAAGTGAAGACTTAAGTCCCTGCCAGCTCTGCCTGGCACATCGGCAAATTCAAGACCGAGGAGGAGGAGGAAGCTGCTGATGGGCCCCCAGACAGCTATGTGTTCACAAGTCTTTGCATAGCAGACTTGCTGGGTGTGGCCTCTCCGTGGGGCTTGGTTCCTGTGGCTAGGGCTAAAATTGGATTTGTGAAGCTTTAACTGTTCCGAAGGGGTTCTTGCCCAGCGGCTGGGGAATGGGGCTCAGGCTTTGAAGAACAGGAGTGTTTGGAAGCCGAGGAAGTAAGGACCCAGGGACATTTGGTTCTTAAAATAGCCCGTGTGGCGCTTGGCTCCTGGTAGCCGAGATAGAATCCCTTCAGAGTGAGCGCCAGCCTGCCCATTGCTGACCCCCCCATTCCTTCCCAGCCTCCAGCCCAATTCTCGCATCTTGCCCCAAGGAACCAGCTGACCTGTGGCTCTGTGGATGAGAGGGCTCAGGATGATCTATTTCCCAAGTGCCTCCTGGACGCCTCCCATGGACCAGCTCGGCCTGCTGCCAGGAACTGGCTCTGCACGTGGATGCCCGGGACTCGAATGGAGTTCCCAGTCCTCCTGGTCCCTTAGTCGTAGCCCCCTTCTGTTTGGGGAGCCTAGATCTTCCGAAAGCGCTGAATACTGTGAAAACGTTTGACATTCCATTTCATTTGTGTGGTGGTTTTCTTTTTCTTTTTCCAAACTACATTTGACCAGATGTGCTGATGTTATCACTTATGTTAATAGCCGTTCCCGTATGTGTTCATTTTATTTTCATGCTTTCTCTGCCATATATCCAAATCACTTGACTAAAATCACTCAATTAACCAATGACGATGTGAATGGTGATTTTTTTTTTCCTCCCTGCTTCCCCCTCTGTAGCTTTCTCGTCCCAATTGCTCGACTTCCAGGTGGGGCCTGGCCACAGTGGATTGGGGGCAGGGTGCAGTGGGATGGGGGCAGGGTACAGTTGGCGGGGCAGGGCATAGGAGGTCCCTCCCACACCCTTGGCAGTTACCAGCTGCTCCTAGGAATGAATGCCAGAAGTGTTTGTCCTCTCAAAAGAAGATTGAATACTCTGCTGTGAATGCTGCTTCCAAGGCCTGACCACGTTTCTTTCCCACCTTCCTGGTCACCCAGGCTGTTTTCCCTCTGGTCCAGCTCCTCATTCAAATTCCTGACGGGAAGTCACGAGCTTGTTTGCGTCCAGAGTCATAAACTGTTCGTGTGAGAACTGAAGAGCCCTGTGCACTCCCTCTGTGTGTCACGATGTGACGTGGTCAGGGCTTCTCCTGGCAAGCTTGGAGCATCAGGGTCAGGCTCCCGAGGCCCTCGTTGGGTAGGCTTCCTGTCTGACTTAGACCTGTTGACCTTCCCTCTGCACCAGTTCCTGCTGGGTTTGGTGCCGCTTGCCTGAGAAAATCTTCCGTGTGACTTTGTACTTGGAGCAATTACGGTGGTAACTTCAGAGTTGACGCAGTTCCCTGGTTAATATGTCACCTCCGAGCCCAAGACAGAAATGTGTAAATATTCCCGTTACCTGAAACCACATCGCAGCACAAAGACCCTACTTGGAACCTGTGTATTTACTTGAAAGGCTCAGAGAGAGACAAAGAGAAATGTCTCCTTCCTGCAGGTTTGCCATCGCCACCCGCACATGTGTGCCATAGCCAGAACTGGGCAAGGAAAAGCCCAGAGCCACAAACTCCCTGCTCATCTCTTCACCACTGCCTCGCAGCATCTGCATCAGCTGGAGGCGGGAGCCCAAGGGTCAGGGCTGGGTGTGGGACCCTGATGTGGGCTGTGGGGGTTTTACCGCGCATCTTAGCTGCACGGTCCAGGGCCTGCCCTAACAACAGCATTCCTAATGAGGGTGGGATAAGACTCGGGTGGGATAAGCCAGAGGGAAACCTTAAAGGGTAGTGGGCAGGATCCTGGGGTGTCCTCGCCACCCCTCAGGTGCCAGCTGCAAGGTCTGCACATGCAGCCTGCTTTGGGAACCTCCCAAGTACTAACCCCGTGTCTCAGCTTGGGGAGGTTAACCCAGGGAGTTGTGAGTACAAACCCAAAGTGGAGTGTTCCCCTGGCCTGGCGCAGACCCTGGAGCTGCCCTCTACACTTGGCTACAGCCTCTGTGATCCTTCTGTACCCCTCTTCCTGCCCCACTCCCTCTCCCTCCTTTCCCTGCCACCTGACCTGCCAGGGAGTTAGCTGTTGTTAACCAGCAGGTGGCTCAGGCATGGAGGAGCTGGATGGATGGCAGCATCAATCAAGATGCTGGGTCACATCTGGGCAGTGTCAGGTCAGGGGCAGTCATGGGAAACCCGCCCATCAGTGAGGCTGGCCCACAAGGCAGTGGGGCCAAGGGCAGGGAAGGTCATTGGTTCCGTGCACAATTTTAATGATAAAGGTGACCTTGGCTAGGCAGATAGGGCTTGAGGCCAGGATTCAGATGGATTCTTGTCCTATCTTGGGTCTTACTTTCCTCTCTCCCAACACCCCAATTCTCCCGCCCCCGGGGAATGCCTGCGTCCAGGGGTCAGGGAATGTCCAGTGGCTGACCAGACAGGTGGGAGGTCTGGGACCCAAGAAAGAAGCAATCAGCTCCCAGAACTGCCCACCAACTACTTGCCTAGGCAGAGGGAGAAAGCAGATGACCTTGCTCAGGTGCGAAGAGGCTGAGGGTGAGGGTGAGGGGCATGGCCTAAGGACCTCAGCTCCCCAGGGATCACTCTGCCCATCCTCCAAAGGGGTCTGTGGCACAGCTGAGGGTCTGAGGCCTCTCTCCTGGGGTCAGCACCTAGGCCTGAGGTGGGCATCCTGGGCCATGAGACATTGGCATATGGCTGTGAGTCTTGGTGGATTGCCCTGTGACTTTGGGCCACCATGCTTCCTCCCTCTGACATGGCAAATCAGGCCCCTGGCTTCGGCCAGGCTTGGCGGAGGCCTCCAAAGGCTCCTGCTGAGGAGGAAAAGAGCTAGGGAGAGGGAAAGTGCTCACCCGGCCTTCCGACCGTCGGTGCTGGG